TGCAGGCATTCGGGTTAGTAGGCTTTTTCAACTTTCTTTTTCCCTTTTTTTCGTTCGCCCTTTCGTCATATGATTTTCTTGTGTTTCATGGGCGTTTATCAGTCCTTGTTGAAATTGTTCTGACAGAAAATGTTATCTCCTCGCCCACGTTTGTTTTTACTTTCTTTTCCAAAGGATGTTATCATGTCGTTGCAAAAAGGACTAGCTGGCTGTCATCCAAGTAGCTTATACAACAATTCCAGTACTTGTTTACATAGTATTTTTGCCAAAATACCCACGACATAACGCTACCATTGTCACATGTGTTTGCTATGTCTGTTGCCTTTACTTTAACTTTTTGAAAATCATTAGGTTCTTTCTTTGAGAAAATCACTGAATCCAAAATTGCTACACGTCTGTGACAGCTGCTAGTGTTCAATTTCGTTTGATTTTTGAAATTCGCGCGAAATTTCGCCGGATTCGCGAGATTTCCGAATTTGCGCGTTTTGGGGGATTTACATGATTTGTGGAATTTGTCCATGACTTATTTTGGAATAAATATATTGAATGCGAGCGGATTTAAGCTCAGCTCAATGGGACAAATTTTCCGGTATATTCAAGTGTGATGTAAACTATCGGGTTACGTTTGGGTATAGTGGGACATGTTTGTTTACTGAGGTAGTGTTTTTGTGAGTAAATTTGACAAATATGGACACATCCCGTTGTCATGACTGTAATTCACTGGTGATGTAGAAACAACCACTCCTAAAATTCTAGTCTATTTACAACACTTTTCGCGATTTTTTACCGATCTAAATATTTGATTAGCGACACCAACTATTTCTTGAAACTTCTAAATCTGAGTATTTATTTTTGAACTACTCAGCGATTAAAATATAATCCTTTGTATGACTTCAATACCTTAGTAATTCGCTATGATTCAGGACATAAATCGATACAGTAACGTGCCGAATCACTTGTCAGGGAGTGAAGTGAAGCCAGCGGAGTCACCACCTGGAGCTCCAACTGCTGTGCCCTATACTTCGATGAGAACAAACGGACCTGCTCTCATAGGGTAAGCAGTTTTGGCTTTCTTTTTTTATTTATCCTTTGGGGGACTAACATTCTAACTAGTGTACTTGCGGTGACGAGAATGAGCGATAAACTTTGCGCGTGAATAATTAGCCACGCCCGCAATGCTGGCATTTTGCGCGCGCTAGTGGCCGGCATTAT